AAATGCAAAATGGTACAGCCAAGAATTTTGCCCAATTCTTATAAAGTTTAACACATTTACCATATGACCCAATGATCCCATTCCTGGGTCTTTACCATAGAAAAAATGTTCTCAATCAGAAGTTATTTTGTCCTCTGAAACTTTTTTTTTATAACAGGGGAAGGGGTATTTGTTACTGTTATCAAGTGGGTAGAATCCAGGGATCCTACTAATCATCTTATAATGCACAGAACAGCCCTCCACAACAAAAAATTATCCAGCCCAACATGTCATAGTGCAAAGATTGAAAAACCCTGCCTAGAGAAATAAAAACACTGTGTCCACTTAGGAAGAGATAAACCAAAGGAACTTATATGCACATTTGCATAGCCAACAGACACAGACAATAGTTTGGGGAAAACAAGTGAGTGGGATCAGGGAGAAGGAGGTCAATGGCAGAAAAAAGAGGGGACATCTGTAACACTTTCAACAATAAAGATTAAAAAAACACTATATCCACAAAAAATCTGTACAGGAATGTTTATAGTAGCTCTATTAATAATCGCCAAAAATGCAAAACAACCCAATGTCCCTCAACAAGTAAACCACTAAACTGTGGTACATTCATAAAAATGGAATACTACCCAGCAATAAAAAGAAAAAACTACTGCCCTGGCTGATGTGGTTCAATTGGTTGAGCATCGTCCCATGCACTGAAAGGTCACTGGTTCCATTCCCAGGCAGGGCACATGTCCAGGTTTCAGGTTCAATCCCTGGTCGGGGTGCATACAAGGCAACCAATCAATGTTTCTCTCACATCAATCTTTCTCTTTCTCTCCCCCTCTCCCTTTCTCCCTCTCTAAAAATCAATAAAAACATATTAAAAAGAAAAAACTACTGATACATGCAACAATTTAAATGAATTTCAAAAGTATCATACTGACTGAAACCCAGTCTCAAAAGGTTATGTATGTATTTTCCATTTATCTGACAGTTTCCAAAAGGAAGAACAAATCTGTAGCTGCCAAGGGTTAAGAGTACACGGTGAGTTATGTCTACAAAAATGCAATACAAGGGAGGCTTTTAGTGTGATGGAATTGTTCTGTATCCTGGTTGTGGTATTAGTTAAAAAGCCAATTTTATTGTGTGATAACTTTTAAAGTAACATTTAAGCCCTGGTCGGTTTGGCTCAGCAGTTAGAGCATTGGCCCATGAACCAATGGGTTGCAAGTTCAATTCCAGTCAATGGCACGTACCTCAGTTGCAGTTCATCCCCAGTCCTGATTGCGGTCATGCAGGAGGCAACCTGTCAATATGTCCCTTTCATGTCAATGTCTCTCTTTCTCTCTTCCTGTCTCCCTCCCATTCTATCTGAACAAAAATTGAAAAATATCCTCGGGTGAGGATTTAAAAAAATAAAGTAACATTTAAAACATTTTTTAAAAGGCTATAAGCCTATGTATGTAGTATGGGTTGAATAGTGTTTCCCATAACATTCATATCTACCTGGAACCTCTGAATGTGACCTTATTTGGCCTTAAAGTCTTTGCAGATATAATCAAGTTTGGATGAAGTCATGCTGCATTAGGGTAACCCCTAATTCAGTGATTAGTATCCTTATAAGAAGAACATTTGAACACAGAGACATGCACAGAGTAAAGATGATGTGACGACATATAGAGGACACCATGTGAAGATGGAGGCAGAGACTGGAAAGATATCTACAGAAGCCAAGGAATGCCCAAGATGATAGGTAACCATCAGAAACTAATATAGAGTCATGAAACAGATTCTTCCTCTGAGAGTTTCCAACCCTGCGGACACCTTATAAGACCTGCTGACACCTGCAAATACCCTATAGAGGCCAAATAAGGACACCTAACTTTGGCCATTTTGACTCATAAACTACGAGAGAATAAAGTTGTTTGAAACTATCTAAGTTGTGGTAATTTGTTACAGCAGTCCTAGAAAACTAATATACCCTATGATCCTATGTATGACATTCTGGAAAAGGCCAAATCACTGGGTTAAGAAAACACATCGCTGCTTCCTAGGAGAAGGGATTGGAGAGAGATGAATGACTAGAAAGACACACTCAAAGACCTGTATCCCTGAAAAGGATGCATTTTATTATGTATAAGTTGTATCTCAATAAACTTGATAACAACAAAAAAAGAGTATTCCCAATGCAAATGATCAAAAAACAAAATGCTGTTAATCTAGTTTCTACAACAAAAAGAAAAATGACTTTTAGTTTTCCTATCTTGGGGAGATCACTGCAGTACCTATTTCTACCACCTCCCCTCTACTTCCATACCTCATTGTTAGATTAACCTTTCTTTCCTAATGTCACTTCATTTTATAATCTATCCTTCTACCTCCTCTACCCTCCTCTTAACACTCAATTTAAAAAATTTTTTTTTCTTTACTGATTTTAGAGAGAGAAAGGGAGAAGGAACAAGATAGAAACATCAATGAGAGAGAACATCAACTGGACACCTCCTGCATGCCCCCCTCTGAAGATCAGGCCCACAACCTGGGCATGTGTCCTGACCGGGAATAGAACCGGCGACCTCCTGGTGCATGAGTCAACGCTCAACCCCTGAACCACACCAGCCGGGCTAACACTCTTATTTTTAAAGCTATTTCAACTTTGCCTCCATCTATAGCTTTAAAATTTGTAACAGAGATGAAAGCTTCTGCATAAATTTCGTATGGAAAACAACTGGCTTTTAAAGTGATTATTAGCTCTGGCCCTGGCCGGTTTGGCTCAGCGGTTAGAGCGTTGGCCTGTGGTCCAGAGAGACTTGGGTTCGGTTCCCGCTAAGGGCATGTACCTCGACTGCAGATTGTCCCCAGCCCTGGTTGGGTTGTGCGGGTGACAACCACTTGATGTGTCCCTTTCATGTTGATGTTTCTCTCTCTCTCTCTCCCTCCCACTCTGTCTGAACAAAATATGGAAAAAATATCCTCAGGTGAGGATAAATAAATAAATAAATAAATAAAGTGATTATTAGCTCTGGCCCATATGGTTCAGTGGTCAGAGCATTGGCCCAAGCACCAAAGGGTCTCAGGTTCAGTTCCTGGTCCAGAGCACACACCTAGGTTGCAGGTTCGATCCCCAGCTCTGTCAGGGAGCATGGAAGAGTTAACCAATTAGTGTGTTCCACACTGATGTTTCTTTCTCTTTCTTTCTCTCTCTCTCTTTCTTTCTCTCTCTCTCTTTCTTTCTCTCTCTCTCTCTCTCTCTCTCTCCCCCTCCCTCCCTCCCTTCCCCTCCCCCAACTTCCACTCACTCTAAAAATCAATGGAAAAAACATCCTCAGGTGAGGATTATCAAAAAATGAAAACAAACATAAAACAGTGATTTTAGAAAAAGTTTTCACAATCAAGTACAGTGCTGTGGTTTACAAGGTAACTCCACCTAGTAAACCATTGGGACTTCAACAAATGAAAGTATCAGTTTGAATCTAAGATCTAACATAACGTTAAAATAATCTATTAACTATTAGCCTGTTTGGTTACAAAGAAACTTAAAATAGGGTCAATTCTTGCCCAGCCAGTGTGGCTCAGTGGTTGAGAGTCAACCCATGCACCAAGAGGTCGCTGGTTTGACTCCTGGTCAGGGCACATGCTTAGGTTGTAGGCCAAATCCCCAGTGCAGGGGATGCAGTAGGCAGCCAATCAATGTTCTCTCTCATTGACATTTCCATCTCTCTTTCCCTCTCACTTCTTCTCTTTAAAATCAACAAAGAAAAAAAAAATTTTTTTAATAGGGTCAATTCTTAATTTTATATCATTTACTTTGAGTAATATTGACTATCATTCTATAAAAGTGTGACAGAATGTCTAATATAGAAAAAGGTATTAAAACATTGCCAGAGGTAAAAACTAATCTTAACATCTTCCTGAAAAGCAGTGGAAAGAAAAATGTGAAAATAGATAGACACAGTTCATCAGGTTATTTCAGTAACATCTTGTCCTATAAGCAATAAACTTGCAAACACATTTCTGGCGTTATTTTAAAATATATATCCTATTTATAAATAATTAAATAGAATATTATAAAATTTACCTGGTATATTTTCAGAAATAACAGATCTAACAGTTATTTTTATAGGCCACATCTATTTTGACCTAGAAAACCTTTCTATAATTTAAAATAGGCCCATATTTTCTTAAAAGCCACAAAAGACATTTTAGGAAACGTACAAAACTAATGAGGAGAAAAATTGCTTATTAAAGCAGAAAGTACAGAGTTCAAAGAGCTCAAGTACACAATGGTATTCAAAGAACTAAAACCTACTGAAATCAAACCCTCAAACAGCCTTATTAAAAATATAGAAGCATAAATGTTAACTGTAAATACTGAGTAGTCTCCCTTGAGTAGGGCCCCTCAGCCATGTTCCCAAACCACTACTCAAGTGAGAGAGTCATGTATCACAGATGTTTTTAAAATTCTGTCTTCGTTCACCAGCCACTACTGTGAAGAATGAATTCCAGGTTCAATCCAGTTAGAAGCGGAACCGTGGAGTTGGTAATGGTTCTTGTGTATGCAACCAGTAGCCACCAGTTCACAGAGGGTTAAAAACTTGATTCTGTACCCTAGGGCCACAGTAAGAGGATGACTAGAAGATCCCATTCTCCATTAATGATAGCAAAGGAGCTGCCCTTGGTGTATGGGGTTGCTGAAGGTATTGTCATAGGCAACAAGAGTGCTAGGTTTGGGGTAAAAGATAAATACTCATTGCCATAACTTAATTTCTCAACAAAAGAAGAGAGAATGGAATCCTCCCATGCACCGAGGTCGAAGGTTCAATTTCCAGTCAGGGCCCAGGTTTCGATCCTCAGTGGGAGTATTGTGTGGGGGGGGGGGGGTGCAAGAGGCAGATGATCAATGTTTCTCTTTCTCCCTCTCTTCCTCTCTCTGAAATCAATATTTTTAATAAAGAAGAAGAGGGAATTAACTCAAACCCACTCATGATGGAGAAAAATTGCTTTCCTATTTACTGCAAAGTTACCTTAACAGGGAGGTAGGATGTGGACCATCCTCTTTCCCCCACAACAGTGACACCTTTGGCTCTGAAGATCACATGTCATTGAAAGCTCCTTTCCCATTTTCCAACCAAACGTTATCAGCATGGAGTCTAAAGAATATGCATAAAAAGATGATTATCTTATTCAAAAAGAAAAACAGGAAGGTACAACTTTTAAAGTTCAATACTATGAAAACAAAGTTTAAGGACTGACACTAGCACTGAACTTTTAGCATTCATTTGCTGGTTTGAACTCTGTACCCAGAATTCCAGAAGTCAATTTTTTCCCTGTTCACCCAAATGGCTTTCTGACAAACATTTTAATATTAACTACTATTATAAGTTGCTTGCTAGCGTCCACTATTTACGGCTAGAGTTTAAAGTATCTGACACGACACAATACATATAACTACTACTGTGCTACTATAAATATTGCTCTTCTGCAAATAATGCTTCTGTAATAATACAATCTAATTATACATAAAGCTGAATTTCTTAGTTCCCAAAGAACTTGTTTCTGACCATCTCTCAATACCCATGAATTCTCAAAATATAAGACCCTGGTGGCCACCATCCCCAACCTTCCAAAAAACCTTTCTCATATCATTTCTAAACAATTAAAAACTAATGCCCACTGCCCTGGTCAGCGTTGCTCAGTGGTTAGAGCATCAGCCCAAGCACTGAAGGGTCAAGGGCATGTAACTGGGTTGCAGGTTCGATCCCCAGCCCAGTCAGGGCGCATGCAGGAGGCAACCAACTGATGTGTCTCTCACATCAATGTTTCTCTCTTTCTCCACCCTCCATCCCTTCTATTCTTCTAAAATTCAATGGAAGAAAACAATAAAAGAACGAATGCCCTGGCAGGTATGGCTCAGATGATTGAGTGTTGACCTATACACCAAAAGGCTGCAGTCTGATTCCCAGTCAGGGCATATGCCCGGGTTGCAGGCTCTATGTGGGCATGCAAGAGGCAGTCAATAGATGTTTCTCTCTCACATCTATGTTTCTCTCTCTCTCTAAAAATTAATACAAACATATTTAAAAGAAAATATATAAATATTAATAAGTTACTGAATAACGTGTGTATACATTTTAGAAAAAACTTCATGGCCCTGGTTGGTTTGGCTCAGAGGTTAAAGCATCGGCCTGCGATCCAGAGAGACCCGGGTTCACTTTCCACTAAGGGCGTGTACCTCAGTTGCAGTTTGTCCCCGGCCCTGGTTGGACGTGCAGGTGGCAACCACTTGATGTGTCCCTTTCACGTCGATGTTTCTCTCTCTCTCTCTCTCCCTCCCTCCCACTGTCCAAACAAAAAATGGAAAAATGTCCTCGGGTGAGGATAAAAAAAAAAAAAATTCATGCATTTTTATTAAAAAGAGTAAAAAAAACCACTGTTTTAACACAGAATGTTTTTGTTTTTTTTTTTAAATCAGAGAGAAAATCATTTACACCAAGAGCCCTAAATATGGGGGGTAGGAAAGGTAGGACAAATTATCACTTACCCATGAGGAAACAAATAGGATTATAAAAGCAGAGCCGCCCTGGCCGTGGCCGGTTTGGCTCAGCGGTTAGAGTGTTGGCCTGCGGTCCAGAGAGACCTGGGTTCGGTTCCTGCTAAGGGTGCGTACCTCGGTTGCAGTTTGTCCCCGGCCCTGGCTGGCTGTGCGGGTGGCAGTCACTCGATGTGTCCATTTCACGTCGATGTTTCTCTCTCTCTCTCTCTCTCTCTCTCTCTCTCTCCCCCTCTCCCTCTCCCTCCCACTCTATCTGAACAAAAAATGGAAAAATTTCCTAGGGTGAGGATAAAAAAATAAATAAATAAAAAATAAAAGCAGAGCCAATTCTACACTCCAAGAAAAGAAAATTGGGTCTGCAGACTTTCACCTTACTATTTATTCTATTCCAAGACTACCTCTTCTACTTTTGACTGAATCTGAAAAGGAACTGAATAAAAATATTACTCCAAATAAGGCAAAATACCACATACATCTTTATATATATATATATTTTTTTTTTTATTTTTTTTTTCTTTGTTCATTTTTAGAGGGAGAGGGAGAGAGAGATAGAAACATCGATGAGAGCTCTGGCCGGTTTGGCTCAACGGTTAGAGCGTCAGCCCACGGACCAGAGAGTCCCGGATTCCATTCCCAATAAGGACACATACCTAGGTTGCAGTTTGTCCCTGGCCCAGGTTGGGGTTGTATGGGTGGCAACCAGTCGATGCGTTTCACTTCGATGTTTCTCTCTCTCTTCTTCCCTCTCTCCCTCCCTCTCTACCTGAAGAAAAATGAAGAAAAAAAAGTCCTCGGGTGAGGATTAAAAAGAAAAGAAACATTGATGAGAGAGAACACTGAATGGCCTCCTCTTGCATGTCCCCAGTGGGGACAGAACCTGAGAATGTGCCCTGACCGGGAATCAAACTGGCAATCTCTTAGTGCATGGGTCAACGCTCAACCACTGAGCAACACTGCCAAGCAAATCAAATTTCTTTCTTTTTTTTTTTTTATCCTCACCCAAAGACATTTTTGCATTTCAGATAGAGCAGGAAGGAGAGAGGGAGGAAGAGAAAGAGAGAGAGAGAAACATCGATGTGAGAAAGACACATTGACTGGTTGCCACTCACACAACCCCTACCGGAGCAGGGACAAACTGCAACGGAGGTAAGTGCCCTTAGCAGAAACCGAACCTGGGTCTCTCTGGACTGCAGGCCGATGCTCTAAACACTGAGCAAAACCGGCCTGGGCTCAAATTTCTTTTAATAGCCCTGGCCAGTTTGGCAGTTAGAGTTTTGGCCCCTGTATCCTGGGTTGCAGGTTCAGGGGATCCCCTGCTCGGGGCCAGGGCATGTGCAGGAGGCAACCAATCTGTGTGTCTCTCTCTCACATCAATGTTTGTTTTTCCCTCCCTCCCTCCCCTCTTCCCTTCCTTCCTTTCTCTGCCTCTCTCTTTCTTTCTTTTGTTCCTTCTTTCTTTCTCTTTCTTCTCTCTCTCTCTCTCTCTACACCCCCACCCCCTACCCATCCCTTCCACTCCCATCTAAAAATTAAGGGAAAAATATCCTCAGATGAAGGTTAACAAAAAAAAATTATTTTAATAAGATCCCATATTTTCCTACTCTAAAGTAACATTTAAATGACAGAGGGACAATTCTTTGCCTAACAGCTTAATCCTTTATAAATATTTACCCCACCAAGTAAATGGTTAAAAGAGAAGAATAGAGAAATCCAAAACTAAAGAAAAATGTAATGAAGGTCCTTGCCCCAACCAACCTTCACCTTTAACTTATCATCAAACATTTACTGAGGGACTATATATTGGAGGGAAAAGGTCTAGCAACTTTGTCAACAATAGGAAAGGAGGAATAGCAGTAGACCAACAACAGAAAAGATATGGGCAGCAGCCTGGAAAATTATTAAGATACCAAAAAACAAACAAAACAATTAAATTTCTCCAAAGATAGGCAAATGGTAAAAGAACATAAAAAGATGCTCAATGGAAAACAAAAATGCAAAACAAAACCACAATGAGATCCCACTTCACACATTAGAATGACTATTAACAAAACAAACAATTAATTTAAACAAACAATTTATTCAAAAAATGGCCCAAAGTGGAAATAACCGAAATGTCCACCAGTAGATGAATGGATAAACAAAATGTGGTATACACATAAAATGGAATGTTATTCAGCCTTAAAAAGAAATAAAATTCTGACACATGCTACAAAAATGTTAGATACAAAGGAAAAATATTGTATAGTTCCACTTACAAGAGGTATCTAGAATAATCTATCTATAGGGACAAAAAGTAGCACAGTGGTTACCAGGGGCTGGAGGAAGGGGTACTGAGTTATTGTTTAATGGTAACAGTTTCAGTTTGGGATGATAAAAAGTTGAGAAGATACAAAGTGGTAAACAACAATGTGAATATACTTAATTTCACTGAACCAAAAACACTTTTAAAAAATGGTTAAAATGGTAAATTTTATGTACATATATTTTACCACAATATGAAAAAAAAAACAAAAAAATAATCAGGACATGCCCTGGACAGTTTGCCTCAGGGGTTTGAGCGTTGGCCCCTGGACCAAAGAGTCATGGGATCAATTCTGGTCAAGGGCACATATCCAGTTGTGGTTGGATACCTGGCCCTGGGCAGGGTCGTGTGCAGGAGGCAACTAATCAATGTGTCACACATCAATGTTTCTCTCTCTCTCTCTGTCTCCTTCCCTCCCTCCTACTCACTCTATATGAAAATCAATAGAAAAATATTCTCGGGCCCTGGCCAGTTTGGCTCAGCGGTTAGAGTGTCGGCCTGTGGTCTGGAGAGACCCGGGTTCGGTTCCCGCTAAGGGCATGTACCTCGGTTGCAGTTTGTCCCCGGCCCTGGTTGGTCGTGCGGGTGGCAGCCACTCAATGTGTCCCTTCACGTCGATGTTTCTCTCTCTCTCTCCCTTCCTCTCTCCCTCCCACTCTGTCTGTACAAAAAATGGAAAAATATCCTCGGGTGAGGATTAAAAAAAAAAGAAAAAAGAAAAATATTCTCGGGTGAGTATTAACAAAAATCATCATCATCATCATCATCATCATCATCAGGACAGATAAGTTAATCATTTTCTTTGTCTTTTAACCATCAATTTACATGGTTAAAAACAAAAAACTAACAGGACAGACTAAATAAATACTTCATCTCCATTCCCTCCTGAAAACCTGGCAAAATGAAATAAAGGAATAAAAAGTATGAACCCTCATGGGCAAAGACAAAGTGGGAGGAAATAACCACAGATAAATGTCAGCAACATTCTGGACAATGAAAAGCATTAGTAGTTACATTCTGCACATTTAATATACATAGAATATAGCTTTTAATTAAGACCTATAGTAAATATCTTTCTTCCAAAAAATTCAAGAAGAAAAGAAAAAGATAATCTATTGACATTCCACAGAAGCAAATGCAGCTAATCCCTCTCCCATGTTCCTTTCCTACCCACTTCGAAAGCTGATCTATAATTAAAGAAGCACCTGAAAATCCCTTTTAATATTAAGGACAAATGAACTCCAAAAACTAGGTTAGGTGGTGCTTTAAAAAAAAATTCCTTTTCCAATAAATGA